GAGTTCAAAGGCGTTTGCCTATATTTCCTTTCATAAATTTGACTTGACTTGATTGTCCTGAGCTTTCGAACTCTTACAACGTCTAAACTCTTACAACTTATAAACGAACGCTACGACGAGAGCGACAAACTCACGAAGTTTGAACATTTGCTCGAACTTCTACGACATTACCTTTAAACCTACTTCACATTTGGTGGGCAAATGTATGAGCAAGTTAAAGGCCTGATTGCTGAAGTGGTCCTCCTACGGATAGGACACTTGGGCTTCGCCAATTATCAACCGAAGTTTTGGGCTGGTTATGTCGATGAAACTTTCGTCATTATCAAAATATCCGACGTCGAGCACCTCAAAGATTTACTGAACTCGGGTTATCCAAATATCCAATTCACGACGGTAGCGAAAAGAAACAACCAACTACCCTTCCTCGATGTCCTTGTGCGCCGGTGTTCAACTGGAATATTGCAAACCACACTATTTAGAAAGGCCACCGACATGACTCAAGTGCTACATTTCAACAGAAATCCTCCCCTTGTCACAAATGCAGCCGCCTTCGTACTCTTTTCCGAAGACGTGAAACACATTGCAGCACACCAGCTGCCAGAAGAGCTGAGCAACAATACCTTCAGGAACTCTTCCGAGCTAATTGTTACCCAAAGTCATTTATCAAACAAAGCATGCGCCGAGTGAACAGACGACGGCCAGTGCAACAAAAACTCGAAGTCTGGAGGGCCATTCCCTACATAAAAGGGGTCTCCGAAGCAGTCTCACGACTGTTAAAACCTGCTGGCGTAGGCTAGCCCATCGACCGCAGGCTACATTACGCCGCTGGGTGGTGCAAACTAAAGACAGACTGTCTTCCACAGAAACCTCAGCACTTGTCAACAAGATACTTTGCAACGATGGAGACTGCAATTTCGTCGGAGAAACAGACCGCAAATTGCAGACCCACCTTCAAGAGCACAAACTAGCGGCTCGGAGACTAGACCCAAACTCCCAACTTGTAGCACACGTCGCAGAGACTGGCCATGATTTCGGTCTTCAGGGAGCGATCGTCGTAGGCCGAGGAACCTCAAAAGCCGAAAGGCATGGTACTCAGATGCCAACTCTGTCAACAGGCATCTAGATCTGCCCGCAGCCCACAAAGTCTTGCGCCCTTATGTGCAAAAAGACAAAACAAAGCCAAACCAAACGCGAGAATGGCAAGCGAAGGGGACCCCAGAACGAACCAGCCGGAAGAGGAGGCAGGATTACCAGGACCCTCTACAGGGTGACAAGGCGCCACACTATTTGCTGTTCATGACCCCCTGCTCCACTGACAGCTTATCAGCGTAAACCACTATAATTGCCCCCGACTCCAGAGACAGCTAATTGCCCTCCTCCCCCATCCTTTTTGATTGCTGTTTCTGACGCCTTGACAACCTGATGATTTCTGACAGTTGCTTGGCCTATGGCCAGTATAATTTCCCTCTTTTTGGTTGCTACTTCTCATATCTGAAGATGGAATCCTGTAGGAGTTCGAAAGCACAGGACAATAAATCATTTGATCCGGTGCTCGACACGTCTTCTTCCTTATCCATGCAGATACCTGGAAGGTGAACCTTTTCATTTATTCTTGATAAAGATGTCTGATTCTACAATGCTAGTCCTGCTTACTAACCGAAGATTGTGGACAATATCACCACATTGTCTCATATACTTCAATTTGCGAGCAAATAAAAGCCTTCGAGGCCGGAGAAGTTGCTTGTAGTTCGCCAGCTTCACCAAGGCATTCGGGTCGGACTGAGTCCACTCCATATCCAGCTGAAAATTTTTATCGCGGTCTGACCTATTTAAACTAATGCCGCGTCGTTAAGGGACTCCGCCACAGTTGGTAACAGGCATTTTTATACTTTTTAGGCCTACATTTTGATTGACATAAGTGCCTCCATGGAAACGCAAATCGGAAGACTGCGGAAAACATTTATCGATATTCTGGACGAATTCTTCCATCGGGGGTTACATGCCAACTTGATCAACTTCGGTTCAACGATGCAACCATGGCACGAACAGATTGAGTTGATAACCGAAGATAACCATGTGGTAAGGCTGCTTCAGTGCGTACGCTAGATAACAACAATAGCTTCCGTGGTTGGAATAACCACATTATTCCAAATCATTCTTATAGTCTGCTTGCCGTTGGATCGACCATCTGAAATGCCAGGGTTCCACCAACGTTCTGCAAGCGCTCGAATACGCGCTGGCCGACCCGGCCACCCGATGTATCTACCTCTTCAGTGACGGTCGTCCAGACCAACCGCCAGAGTTGGTGTTTGCACGTGTGCGCGGACGCCGTAGTGTCCGCGTACACACCATTTGCCTGAACTCCACTGATGCCGAAGCAAATGCATTTTTGGAGAAGCTGGCAAGGCTTACGGGTGGAGAGTTCTGCTCACAGATGGCGGGTCGTCCGAAATCTTCACCACTACCGGCGGTTAGTTTTCTATCTCCAATCATTCAATTGGTCCTTGGGGCCTATCCTATCATCGTCCCATTGGTGCTCCTCTTTCTATTCCTCATCCTTCATCTTCTTCTTCCCCCTACTCCTCCAGCTCTTCTTCCTTCACTCTCCCTTCCACCTCCTGTCACTTCTTGTGCTACATGTTTTTCTTATTACTCCCTTCTTCTTCTTCTTCTTCTTCTTCTTCTTCTTCTTCCTATCCTCTTCCCCCTTCCCATTCCTGTTCACCTTATTTTTCACATCGAAAATCTGTCCTTTGTCCGGCAGCTATGTTAGGCAAACATTTATCTGTACCAGTTAGGTTGTCGCAAGTTGTGATGTCGACTAACAGAAGGTTCCCCCAAATCACAAGTCAAGCGAGACGGTGTAGGTGGACAGAAGCTTACTGCCGGACGATAGAGTGCACAGGCGGAGTTATGCACGCCGAGTCAGTACGCCAAATTGTGTGTTCGTAGCTGTGGAGCCGAGACGGCTGGGCCGTGCCCTCAGCCAGGTGGGCATGCGCGCATCTATTGGCTGGAGCTAAAATGCGCACTGAGCCGCGACAAGTGGGGGAGTATAGGACAAGTAGGACATCGCGGAGCCTCTCGTAGCTGTTGGCAGACACAGTGCGTAGGCGTTGAGCTGGCGCGCGTAGACA